TGAGAATTCACTTGCTTTGCTGACACACTGTCATTGATATCTTTGTTACATTTGTATATTGTATCATATTTCTTAATAACCTTTTGAGATGATTATGGTTTCGTGATAAATGAATGTGAATTGATATTTGCGGTAGTTGGAAGTGTAGTCGCAACAGTTTTTATCTCTTGAATGTATCTCCTGAGAAATGTAAAGTTCCTGTTTCTGCTTGTTGTACCACATAAGGAAACAAAGTTCATGTCCTTGGTCTCTAAAAACGTGTGCAGTAAGATTATGAGAACGAGAATCTATAGGGCTCAGTCGTTGCCGTACGCCTACTAGGCCCTGTATAAAAATGTCAGAACTCGGAGTATTTTTCAAATTTGAATAGCAGCGTGCCGTTTCTACTGTATTTTTATGTTAAAAATAGAATTCATTTGAAAGCTTTACGAATTTTGTCAATAATCTCATAACTTCTAATCAAGCAAAATCACCTTCGTTCCCTTTCACCTTCCTACCCTTTACTTATACGTCTTAATGGTCTTATGAACTAATTTCTAAAGTAGTTGAGAAACGAGCTACTTAGAGTAGTAGTAAGAGGAACGCTAACATTGCTACTACAACAGCGCAGTGATCAAAATCTACAAACAATACATCATTAATTTAAGGCTTTGACACGCCTGAATTAATAATTCTGAGTTAGTGCCGTTTTGAAGAATGATTTAGAAGCAGGAGTGTGGAACTGTCATTAAGAATAGAAATTGAAGGAAGAATAAATGGTAAAGATGTAACAGACAGCAGTCAACTCAAAATGTTCATCATTCTTTAACTGAGTCCATAACATCCTGCGTGAGGCGGCAGAGCACATTTCTTTTGCGCAAAAAGGCGTACGGGAGTGTTTTCTGCTTGTTCTTTATTCCCTCCCATACATTCTTGACTCTTCTCTGAAAGGCCTTCCTCCTGCTGTTTGGTTGAATAGTCAATATTGTAGGTTCTTTTCAGATGACCGGGAAACTCAGCGCCGGAAAGAACTTAACAAATAAGTAACTTGAGTGTGATTTTTGAATTTTATCGGTCTTTGACCCGTTCATCGTACTGCTGTACATTGTGGTTTATGTTTCCACAGCATTATGCAATATTCCAACATTTATGTTCTATTTGCAGATTCAGTACACCATCATGCTATAATAAAACGTATTATGGCTTTAGATAGAAAAAACTAGCGACGAAACGAGTGAAAGACCAATGTAAGCTGGAAATTATACTTAAATTTGAAGTTATTTTAATGATTTCGCGCCACTCACCCTGTAACTCTGTCACTCTGTAAAATCAAAAATATATTTATCTAACTGGTTATGAAAAGCGGCAGGGAAAGTCTCAGATTGTTTATTCTAATTGAAAAGGAGAGTCGAGGATGTGCGAAAAAGATAAAGAAGAAGACGAAGCACAAAAGCAAACGTGCCTTGCCGCCGCACCTTGTATATGGTGCAATCACAGGAAGGGGAACGACAATTTTGCGTCGGCTATACTTGGTTTAGTTACAGTGTACCTGATTAGCCAATAGCTTTAATGAGGTGCGTTGTTATTTGTTTATTCATTTATGTGCGGTTTCGAATCACTTTTGATTTGTCGTTCATACCAACTCTTCCATCCTCTCATCAAGTGGGAGCTTGAATTCGAATCAAATCAGGGGTAAGATAGACATTTTTTTTCAATATTAGCTGACTACAGCGTTTTTCAAGTCGTAAACGTATGCATTTTACATGAGGTTTGTTCAGCGAAAGGTTTCAAACAGAAATTCTACTCTGATCAGTTTGTTTTTTGTGAAAACAGTTCCACTCAAACGATGATTTTTTGTTTATCTTGATACACTACTTTTCATTCTTTTGAAGGAGCAGAGAAATTAGAAATAAATATGTCGCTTTTTTGGATTATTTTAACTTGAAATCTGTCATGAAATCTACATTTTTTGATTCGTCACTTTCAATAATCGATTCAGCGTTTTTTTTTTCTTTACACCTATTATGAGGATGCTCGTTTCTTCTTCAGATAATTTGACAGTTTTGACCAAAATTCCTTCCCAAAGTGCCCACATATGAGCGCTGTGACTTTTAGGAAGAATGAAACTTGCAATAATCATAGTAAATATTACTTTTGCGTCTACATCTCAGTGGTTTGCTCCTGTCGCTTAAGCAATATGTGAGAAGGAGGGCTAATTTGAGGAAGATTGGATTCCCAGTTTGCAATAGCTAATTGCGTCATTTGAAGACTTTCATCTGGTTTCTGATACGAACTTCGAATATGATCACTTGTTTGAACGTACTTACCGCGTACTATTATCGCTATGTTGAAGATATTTGGATAACGAGTATTGATTTAGGTTTGTGAGCTGTGATGTCTGACCATGACCCTGAACAACCTCTTCCCGCTGGATGGGAAAAGCGGATGAGTCGTACCAACAATCAGGAGTACTACTATAATCAAGCCACCGGTCGAAGTCAATGGGAGCGACCTACGGAAGCAGCTTTTGGGAAAGGATCGGACCTCACACAAGTCAGAGCTGCTCATCTTCTCGTGAAACATGCGGGTAGTCGCCGTCCATCCAGTTGGAGGCAGGATAAAATTACTCGGAGTAAGGAGGACGCTCGAAATATCCTGAAAGACTACATTCAACAAATTCGTAGCTCTGATAACCCCGAAGCAACATTTCGAAAATTGGCGCAGCAGTTCAGCGACTGCAGCTCTGCGAAGAGAGGAGGAGATCTTGGTAAGTTTTATAATTATTTAAGTTTACCATTTTGTGAAATAGCATCTTAATATCGGCTGGCGCACTGTGTTATTCATTTTTGCCTATTTACTTCAATCATTTGAAGTGCATCATCAAAACAAGCTTAATTCTAGTACAAATATAGTGGGTACTTCCACGAACTATTTATTAGCAATAGAGCAGTTGCTTGACAATTATGATGAATGCGTTTAGTGTATAAGGATTAGCTTCAGTTGAGCCGATCGTACACTTATAAGCGGAATAGTCGGCCGATCGAGGATGCGGCACGCTCCCGTTGCATTAAAGATTGATAACAACCGGGTTTCTATCTTCTTCTAACTATTCTATGCTTCCTTTTTGGTTTGGTTTCCTTTTGTAAGCGATTTAGGAATCGCCTTGTGGAACATTTGCACCAGCGTGGGGCGTTATTACAAAGAAATGAAATATCTAGTCATGCTTCGAACCCTGTATAATTATTGGGGCACTTC